TAATTAAAAAAACTAAAAAACTAAATATAAATCCACATCACCAAAATGAAATGAACCAAGTGTAAGAAACCAAATCACGATTTCCAGGAAACTGCAAGGGCCAGAACCATGATTTTCCTTAAAAGCTTAAGACAAAACTATACTTTTTTTATCTTTATTTCTCATTTTTTTTCTCCTCCCATTTGTTTCTAGAGAGATACTCTCTCTTATCTCTAAAAGAAGAAGAATAGTCGTCTGCCCACCGGTCGTCATTCATCTTTGTCGGCCGATCGTCGGTGTCGACACTCACCATCGTCGCTAGTCTCCGGTGATGATCCAATAGCACCAGTAATTTCTTCTTTGTCTCCTTGTCTCCGATCTAGGATCTATTTCTCATGAAAATATATCATTTGTCACGAAACAACCAACAATCGTTCGGCTTCTCATGTTCTGATCTGTCATCGTCCATTGTTGGATCGTCTTGATTCTTTAAAATGTTGTTCCATACGATTTTCCTCTCTTCTCACTGTTTAGGAGTCGGGATTGGCCTACGATCGTTGTGACCGTCGGTGACCGAGAGGTACATCCCCTTTCTTCTCTCTTTTTTTTGGTTTGTTTCGTTCACTCTATTTTTTTTCTTTTTCGCAGGTCACTCCCTTTTGCGCAGTGAATTTTCGTACCGGTCGTTATTCAAACATGCAAAATAAAAGAAAAGAAGAGGGATGTATTTAAGAGAATCTCTTTTTATTTCGTGTTTTCGAAGTACAATGGTTGTCGTTTTTTCTGTTTTTATCCCCTTCTTACAATGTTTTTGCCGTCATTTATACACGGAAAAGCTTCAATTTTTTACAATCCGATCAAGAGATATTTAGATCTCTGATTTGTTACGTTAAATCAGAAAAAAGGATTTGAATCCTAAAATATCCGTTCTTGAATTTGTTGTTGACAATTTGTTTCCTTTTTCTTGCAAACAATGGTTCGACCGGCGCGTGGAGAGCTTCTGGTCGACGCGTGAGATGTTAATCGTTGACGCGTGGAAGTTGATGATGATGGGCGAGTGGATAAAATTAATAGTAGACGCGTGATTCCCACACACCCAACTGGATGATAAATCCTTGGGTGCGACGACTTGATTTGGAAAGAAACACTAGGATTTTCCTTTGTTATTTTAATATTGTGGGCTAATGGACTGATTCTAAAAATGGGCTACTTGTATCTATGCCTGCAAATAAATAACAATATTCAGTAAAAGTTCATTTTATTTCTACAAATATAACTAAATATATAACTAATGCTAATAAATATTTATCATAGTAGTAAACTACTACTACTAATAATAAATGGTACAAATAATAATAACTATATAATAGTAATAAGTAATAATACTTCATATGGTACCTAACAATAATGCTAATAATAATCATTACAAAGTAAATAATATGATACTAAAATAGTTTTAATAATATGTGATAAAAAAATAAAATGTAATTTAAATTTAAGCCCGGAAGAAATTGGGTGTCTACAATTATTCTAATAAAAATAATTATTAAAATATTTAAAATGTATTCATCTATATTTTTTTCAAGATATAATATAATATTTTTATTTTAATATTATAATTCTTAATATTATAATGATATATTCAATTATATTATATTAATATTTATTGTTATATTTTTATTTTAATAATATAGTATTATTATTTATATAATAATACCATTTATTATTTTTATAATATAATAGATATTTAATTAATATAATTAATAATATTTATTATGTAAATAAATATAAAAGTCTTACTATTTTTATTTAAAAATTCTTTTAAAGAATAATATTTCAATAATAACATTAACAATAAATAATATTGAATAAATTATTATAATATTTTTTTATTAATCTAGGATAAGTAGTAATATATGTTCAAATATCATTCTCAATCTTTTAACATTGAATACTCACACCCCCTGACATTCATGATAAGTATAAGATAATGTGTTAAACTATGTTTCGATATAACAATTTAAGGCAAAATGGTTTTTGGACTTGAATTGAATTTACAAAATGGTTTTTGGACTTGAATTGAATTAAAAAATGTTTTTAGACTTAATTGAATTTATTCAAAATTTACAAAAATAATTCAAAGTTCTTTTAATTTAAAATTGAGCACAAAAATGTTTTTATGAACAGTAACCCGAGGCTCAAAAATTCCAGTTTGTAAAAGGGGAACCGATTCCCCCAAGGGGGTAGCGATTCCCTCACTGTTCATCAGCCCAACGGTCATAATATTTGAATATTATGAAGGGGTATCGATTCCCTATGAAGGGGTACCGATTCCCCCCATTCTGGGTAACCTTTTTGAGTATAAAAATCATCCCCAAACGGCTCTAAAACATCCCCAACGGCTATATACGACTTCAAACTCATTCCAAGCTATAAATACAAGCTGAGGACACTTGAAGAAGCAAGAGAACAACTATCCAAGCAATCAAACACAAGAGAAGAATTTTTCATTCTTATTTCATCTTTCTCTTGTATATATTTTATTCTTGTGAGCTCAATCTTGTAAACACCTACCTTAGAGAGGTTTTCTTGTTTACTTATTTTATCCTTTTGTAAAGGGGAAAGGTTCTAGCTTATCCCGTGTAAAAGCTAGGGAAAGGTTCTAGTTTAGCCCGGAAAAACTAGGGAGTTTGTAAGGTTACTCTTTATCCTCAAAAGAAAGAACAAATTAGTGAATTTGTTGGAAAATCCTTGGTGAGGAGCTAAGGTAGTGGACGTAGACTTTGTTTGAGAAAGTCGAACCACTATAAATCGCTGTGCAATTCTCTATCTTTCAATCTCCTTACTCCCTAAACACAAAACCGTTCCGACCCCTCTTTGCAAATCGTTCCGGTTGTCGTTTCGAGCTTCCAAAAATCCCAACATAATGTATGTTCAAATATAACTCTCAACCATTTGATATTGAATGCTCACACCCTTTACTAATGAGACTACTTGGTTAGTACATTATTGTTATAACATTCAAATAATAATATTGTTATGTTTTTTTATTAAGTAGAGAGGTGTTACATTTTCAAAGTAAATGTTAGGATTAAAACCCACATAAGGTGAGACATTATGACTATCCTTGACCACTCGACCAATTAATAGATCTCAATAATCTTATTTTTTATAATGAATAATATTATATATTGTATTCGGTTTTTATAAATATTTTTTAAAATTTATAAATAAGCTAAAAATATCTCAAAATTATTCAAATACAGTAACATTATATATTGTTTTATAATGAATAACATCCTTTACTAATGAAACTGCTTGGTTTGTGCATTATTGTTATAACATTCAAATAATAATAATGTTATGTTTTTTTATTTAGTAGAGAGGTATTACATTTTCAAAGTAAATGCTAGTATTAAAACAAACATAAGGTGGGACATTATGAGTATCCTTGACCTCTCGACCAATTATTAGATCAAATAACGTTATGTTTTATAATGAATAACAATACATATTGTATTCGATATTTATAAGTATTTTTTTTAAAATTTATAAATAAGTTAAAAATATCACAAAATTATTCAAATACCGTAAAATAATTTTGAAAACTATTTTTCAAAAATTAAAATTCACTTTATGTAAATTATTTTTAAAAAATTAATAATAATGAAATAAATGGGGAAGTCATTTATAAATATCATAATAAATCTTACTTACCCATGTGAAAAAGAATTTGTATATATATTATATGATCGGAGAAACTCATTTAAAAAATAAAATCAATTTGTTTCATAAAATTATAAATAATTATAATTAAATTGAAAAAAATTCAAATAACTAGATTTAATTCAAAAATATTTTAATAAATAAATTTTAAATTTAATCTAATAAAAATACAATTACAAAATAAATTTTATCAATTCTGACTAACTAAAAAAAACCGAACTTTACTCCATGGAATACTTATCTCTAAACACAGACAAAATAATATAAATTTCAAATTCATTCCCACCATCAAAATGGCAACTAAGGGTATGTTTGTTTCCCGTAATTGGAATTACGGAATTGGTTTTCTTCGAATTCCCGTGTTTGTTTTACGTAATTCGTTTTCCGGAAAATATTTTCCCGTGTTTGTTTCACGTAATTCGTTTTCCGGAAAACGTTTTCCCGTGTTTGTTTCACGTAATTCGTTTTCCGAAATGTAATTCATTTTCCTAGTAACAGAATTTCCTTTGTGTTTTCTGTAAAATGACTTACGGATTCATTTTCCGTAAGTCATTTTCCAAACTTTTCACTTCAAAGTAAAAATACTCAAAATAATTTTATTTTATGAATTTAATATTAATAAAATATTTTAATATCATTTTCATCAAAATATTAATTATTAAAATATTTAAAATATATTTATTAATATTTATAATAATATAATTTATTTTTAATATTATAAAAATAATCAATTTATATAATAATATAATATAAGATATTATATTTTTATTTTAATATATAATAATTTTTTTTATATTTAATAATGAATATATTATTTATATTTCAATAATATTTTAGTAAAGATATTAAAATATACTAATTAATATTTTAAAATATATATAGTACTATTACTTTAATAAATAATTAATATAATTTATAAAATTTTATTTCACTAAAATATACCGAAAAAATGTTTAAATAACATCTTCCAAACATCATAAAACGTTTTCCATATGTTTTTCAGAAATGTAATTCATTTTTCAGAAATGTAATTCATTTTCCAGAATTCAAATTCCAGTAATTCATTTTCAGTAATTCAAATTTCAGTAATTCAAATTCCAGTAATTCATTTTCTGAAAAACCAATTACAGCTAAACAAACAGACCCTAAATGAAGTTGGATCCAATATCCATATGTTACGTGGTTCAACCTGCACTGGTTATAGTGTCCAACCTCCGTGCAACCTCTTTGTCTTTAATATAAAGTTACAAAAATCGAAGCAACCCCTTCCTTCTCTCCACAACCATTTAACCAAATTAAATAACAGAGGTAGGGAATCAAAATCCTCTCATTTTCCTTCCACCGTATAAACAATAAAGCGTCCAAAAATCTTCATCGAGCGCCAAACGGGAGAGATAACCCAATCGGGAAAAATACATATGGGGAAGAAAAGGAAGTCCATAGCGACGAGCCTTGATGAGGTGGATCGGACTATGTACGTTTCGTTTTGCAGCGCCGCTAATTCTCTGTCTCAGCTTTATACTCAGGCTATGAACCAGCAGAAACTCTCCTTCCAAGCCGGCAAACGCCATAGCCTTGTACTCTCTCTCTCTCTCTCTCTCTCTCTCTCTGTGTGTGTGTGTGTGTACGTATATATTGATTGAATTGTGGGTTTTTATTTGTATGCAATATTAGCTTGATGGTTTTCATATCTGTTTTTGCATATATAGATTGATTGAATTGTGGGTTTTATTTGTATGTAATTTAGCTTGATTTAAAAAAAATTGAGTGGTTCTAAAAGATACGCTTTTGATCAACCAAATTTGTTTTATTTACTTTTATTTGCAGTGTAATCATTGTGTTTAAAAAATACATGTTTTTTTACGAAAATGGTTTTGGGTTTTTGGTGGCTGTGGATTGATATGATTAGGGTTTCCCCCCCCCCTCTTGCCGCGTTTCGGGATTCATTGAATTTGTACGTTTGTGTGGTTTAGCTTGAACAATGAAGACAGTGTGGTGCATTATTATTGAGAAGCTTAAATGATAATTTCAATTAAAAACAGTGTAGTGAATATGTTGATTTGTTTTGTGATGTACTTATTTTCAAGAGTGGAACTGGACAATGGTTGCTATGGGATGTTTTATTTGTAAGAGTGACGTACTTATTTGTGTGAATATGTTGATTTCCACACTCTTGGTGAGTTTCGACTTGAGCTAATCTTTTGATTGGCATTGATACCTTATGACGAAGGTTACATCAACAAAATGAATTTATATTTTTCCTTCTTTGGCTCAATACTCTCTTATTGCATTGCCATTATTTGCGAAACCCAAGGAGTGTGGAAATTCAAGTACTGAAGCTAATGGAACCTGATATCATGTCACTTGCTTAAGTGTATCATGTATGCCCTTGCAGAGTTTCGATGTTAACTCCATTTAGTGTCAATATAATGTGATTACGTGATTCGGAATTGTTATATTCAATTTGAAAGTTTAATTTCCAAAGAGGAATTTGAATGTCATATATAAATTCTCTATGTTTCCTTTGTTAAGAGAAAAGGCCTATGTATATTCTACTCAACATGAGTGTAAAATCTATTAAGTTATAATTTTTCAGCCTTTAGTTCTGAACTTGCATAGCCAGTTATCGATGAAGTTCTTCTTGCTTGGAGTTAGAAGTTAATGCTAATAGGTCATTTCAACTTGCTTTCAGGAAAAGCTTTATCAATGGATTTGGAGGCAACAAGAGGGAGGATCAAGAGTAACAACAATGGATATCCTCAATTACCTTCAGGTTTGTTGTTCTATTTGACTCTTCTATAGTTTGCCATAGAGGTTGGAAAAACTGAATCTGAATACGGATCTGTGCCTAAAAAATTCTAAATTCAGACACACATATGGAAGAATCAAACTTGAACCCACAGCAATCTAAACCCCCAATGAGCCAAACTTGAGATCAACCATTATATAAATCCTTAATAGATGGAACTTAATGAATATAATAAAATATTAAAAAAAAAAGACTTGAGACCCATATTTGTTCTATTTTTATGAAAATAGTTATAATTCTGAAATGATTTGAACTTGAAACTGATATGGCCTGTTTGAAATTGTTTGTTTTCTACCTCTGTCTGCCATTCAGTCCTGGAATGTTTTCATTTTGGAATTCTGTTATGACTACCATAATTCACGTCGGTGCATAAAGATAATCCTTATGTCATTTTATATTAATTTATTTCATTGAAATCTTGTCTCTAACCTTCTTGTTAAGGTTGAATGAATATTACTTTCCTTTAATTGCCTTTCTTGAAGTTGTATGAAATATCCCTTTCCCTTGCCTTCCGTTTAAAACTTGAATGCCATTTCTCTTCTTTCTTGCGAATTGGAGGATTATATACACATACCTCTGTCTATAGCCGTATTGTGCACTGTTTTTGGACACGAGTATTTCACAAAACATGAAGTCTGAACAACATAGGTCTATCCGTACCGTATGTCTCTTATTTCAAACCTGTTCTGTTTTAATTCACAAATTTTGCGTCTGAAAGACGTGTACAAGGAGTTATTTTTGCTTTTGCAGTTGGAAATTTGTAAACTATTTTTATAATATTCTTGTAGTTTTGGCCTCTAAAGATTCGTGCAAGCACTGGCATGCTTATTACGAAGACGGATAGGATAGATTTTCCCTTATGACACAAGGGAATCTTCTTGTGAATCCTTTGGAAATCCTTACAATTTTGTGTTTTTTTATCCTTTTTGTTTGTGATAATTTTATATCTGGTTATCTTTATTATATTCTGCAATTTGAATAATTTTATAATCTTCCTGCAGAATGAGCTAAACTCCGGTGGTGAGGAGCCATCAATGTCACCTAGAGCACCAAGCCAGCAGCAGCAACCCCAGCCTACAATGCCGTTCATGAATCCCAATTTCATTGTCTCTTCAGGCTCATCGGGCCAAACTGCTGTGCTGGGAACTCACCTTGACCATTGTGATCAGCAGCCGAAGAATTTTGTTTTCCCAAATGCCTTATCGAGCCCTGTTTGTCAGAGTCTTCAGCATTATCACATTTCTCAGGAAGGTTACTGTCCGAACGGTGGTCTGCCTGCAGGAAATGGAGTTAGGAATGACGAATCTAACTTTCTCCAGCACCAGACTCGGGATCCTAACCCGCTTAGCTCCAACGATGCCTCAATGGACATGCATGCAGATAGTCCATCGCATGAATCTCCGTACTGAGAATGGCAATGGCAGCTCCTAACAATTAAAAAGATCCTGAAAGGGCTGTTTTTAATTTGCATCACCATTTTTGTTTGTTGCTGCTACCAATGTGAAGAAACCTCCGCATTAATACAAAAAGAAAAAGAAAACTCATGGCACTGTTTTGTGTTGCATAGACACAGATTGGCATGAATTTATCAGTTTTATGTGCTTTAGCCCTATTTGCTTCTAGTTCTTAAATTTCTTATTGTAAAACATTTTGTTCAGGTAATACACATTTCAAACGCAACAGTAAATTTGAATTCTAGTTCGGGTTTTGTAGTCTAAATATTCGTTGAGTTTGAGGTTCGATACATAGAATTGGTTCCTCTATCTTGGGACTAAATTTGAATCATGGAAACAAATAAGAGAAAGATGGAAAATGAGATGAACGTTGGTGAAGCCAAATCATGGTGGTTAGGAGGGATGTTTAATGAGTCTTGCAGCTCATGAGTTATTTGAACTTGATTTGGTTAAAATTCAGTTAATATTCAATTCACGTTAATTCAACTCAAATTTCAGAACTCGATTTGGTTAAAACTCAATTAATGCTCAATTCATATTGATTCAATTCGAATTAGAGTTTGATTTGAGACTTTAAAATACTAAGTTGAATAAAGGGTAACTTGATTTGATATATTTGGGAGCAATTCATTAATTTTTTTATAACTTTTTAGTAATTATCTTAAAAACTATTTTATTATAAAAATTAATTAATAATTATCAGTTTATTAATAAATAATAAAAATATTAAATTACTAATTATTATTAATTTATTAAATTTTAATAAATAATAAGAGAGATACTAAATTATTAATTAATCATTATTAATTTATTAGATTTTATATATAGTTAAAAAAAATAAGATAAAAATTCTAGTGAGTTTAATGAGTAACCAATTGAGTAATAAATCTTTTTAATAGGCATAAATTGAACAAAAATTTATTGATTTTAATAAGAAACGAATCAAATCGCATACTAATTTTTTAAAGAGAACGAATCAAGTACCGCTCATATCATAATCGACTCGTTCAAATACCCCGAATGGTGGCTGCTACCTAGAGGCTAACAGGGTGATGTCGGCACCATATGCGATAGGGACAAGGGCAGATGGGGCTGGTCCAAAGAGCAATGGTGTCACAATGAAGGGCCCTTCTTAAATAGGGGAATCCCATGCAACTTGTTTTATTTCAGGTCTAGGGGGTCATTTCTTCTTATCATTAATAATTCCTAAGACTCTCCCTCCTTAGATTTATTGCATTTCCTCACTTGTCTTGTAACCCCACCAATTAGGTTATTTTTCCAAATGCCCATATGAACTTCATTTATTATTAGGATAAAGTTAGTAAATGGTCTCTCGACTATATAATGTTTTTTTGTTGAGTCATTTGACTATTGAAAGTTATGAAATGGCCATTCAACTATAGGTCGATAATGTGTTGAATCTTACGACTATTAAAAGTTATAAAATGATCACTCGACTATTCATATGTTTCGAAGTCATTATTTTCTGATGACAAATTGACAATCGCCTGAGGTAGATGTTAACTTGATGATTATGATATGATAAAATATTATCACAAAATTGTTTGAGCTATATTTTGTGGATCGAGTCTCTGTTTACATTATATCATGGAGTTAGTGCTTGAAGCATTATGTCGTTGAGTCAGTGCTTGAAAGTATCCGCAATGTCAGTAGACATTATTAAAATATGATTTTATCATATCTCAGTTAGTAGATTAATATTTAGCTCAGACAACTGTCAAGTTTTAACGAAAAAGAACGAGTTTAGAATAAATGAATAGTCATGTCATCATTCTGTAACTTTTAATAGTCAGATGACTCAACAAAACAACGTTCTATAGTCTATAGACTATTTTTTAAATTTTAACAGTTGAAAGACTCAACAAAATAACACTTTCTAGTTGAGGGACTATTTACTTCCTTTATCCTTATCATTATTAGAGTCTTTTTCTTACGCTGTATATACCACATGTTTCTCACATGAGAATAAAGATGACGATTGATCCAATATTTAAAATAATTTTAATTTTGTTCGATAGTTGAGTGCACCAAATTTTTTGTTGTATTACTCGTTAAGCATTAATAATATCAACTTAACATAGTATAAAATCATCTCACTATATCAGATACCTTTACTGACCAATAATAAGGGTTTAAGTTTGAAATTTGATCAACGTAATGTATAAATAAAGATGATTAAGATGTTCAAATATGATTTTATAGAGTGAAAAAAATTTATTTTAAAAATTAGATTTAAATCGAATTAAGAATAATTCTTCACTCAAACTATATATATATAACGATGATCGAAAAAAGTTATCATTAATAATGACAAAAGATGATGGCTAGAGTTCATATTTGAGAGAAAATTAGTTAAAAATTATTTGAATCAAATTAATTCTAAGTTTTATCTTTTCACGTGACTTGCCGTCCCTTTACTTTCTCCATTTCACCTAGTGCGACAGACAAAATATATATGACCCTTTTTTTCAATACTAAAATGATTCATTCATCTTTAAAAATGATTATAGACGCAAATGAATTGAGTTTGAATGAATAAAATTATATTTATAGTCATTTATTTAATTTTAAAAGTGTTCATATTTAGTTAATATATGTTTAAATTTTTAGTATCATGTTTGTATTTGTTTGTTTAGTATTCATGAACATGTTAATTTAACATTCATAAACATGTTCATTTAATATTCATAAACATATGTGTAAACATGTTTGTTTGACGTTCATTTAATATTCAACAGTTGACACTCTATCTTATTTTTTTATCTACACGTCAAAGAAAAATGATGAAAATACGTCACTAGTGCTTAAGTTTCTTAGGCTTAGAGTTTTAACTCCAAAATTCATCTTAGGTTCAATTTAGTTTTTATTGTTACTAATATTTAAATATAAAGAAAAAAGAATTGAGTAAATGAGCTTATAAATGAATCAATAAACATGTTTGCTTGTGAATATAATCGAATCAAACACACTTCTACTTGTGTTCATTCATTTATCAAATGGACATAAAAATTTTATTTTTACTCATTTATTTAACTTAATAAATAAATAGAGAAAATCGCCTCAGTGACCAAAAAAAAGTTATAATATACGATTTTAACCAACTTTTTTTGGATTTGCCAAAATGACCAACAAAATCGCAACGCGAAATAAAAATCGCAACGCGATCCCCAGAATCGCAAATCAGTTTCCAGAATCGCAACGCGATTCTTGAAAATCGCGATGCGATAGTACAAATTCGCATTGCGATTTTCCATAATCGCAACGCGAATATGAAAATCGCAACGCGAACACATAAATCGCAACGCGTATCCGTAAATCGCAACGTGTATCCGTAAATCGCAACGCGTATGGGTAAATCGCAATGCGTATCCGTATATCGCAACGCGTATCCGTAAATCGCAACGCGTATCCGTAAACCGCAACGTGTATCCGTAAATCGCAACGCGTATCCGTAAATCGCAATGCGTATCCGTAAATCGCAACGCGTATCCGTAAATCGCAATGATAATCCGTAAATCGCAACGCGTATCCGTAAATCGCAACGATAATCCGTAAATCGCAACGAGAATCTGTAAATCGCAACGATAATCCGTAAATCGCAACGAGAATCTGTAAATCACAACACTGAAATTTTGGGTATATAACACTGAAATCATAAACTAAATCCCTAAATCGCAACTCATTCCATCTCCATCTATCACTCTCTCGGCGACATCCGTTCCTATATCCAACGACATCCTTCCCCATCCGGCAACAGGTCTTAGTTTCGCATCTCGTTTGTTTAGTTACAACCATGAAATCATCTAATGTTGATCATGTTTGGATAGATTTGTGTTTTGGAGGGTCATGGGATAATGTTAATGGTGTTTTACAATATATGCCTTTACCCATAAATCTTCAACTAAAATTGTCTTTACAAAAGTTAACTTATGAAACTCTAATGCTACGTGTTTCAAATAAATTGAATTTAGAGCCCCTAAGTGGATTTAGGCTATCTTATCAGAGAAATGGTAAAGTTTATTTGTTAACCGACAATGAAGATGTTGAACGATTCATTGCTTACATTAGTGTTTCACAAGATGATGTTACATTGTATGTTGTTGAACCTAGAAGTAGTATTGTTGGGTCAGTAGCGGGTAGTAATCAACTAAGTTTTTCTCAAAACCCACAACCTTTCTCTAATCCAAATCCCAATCAACTTTCAGCACCAAATTTCGGTTTTCGTATTGACCAGTTAGACGATGATGAGCCAACAGAAAAAATTGTGAGTACTAGTCAGTATTCGAAATTTGGTCTTGGTCAATATCCGGACTTGATATTGGTCAATACACGGATTTTGATGATGTTTCAGAAGAAGAAACAGACCATGCGTGTAATGATATTGATTGGTCAATACCCGAATTTTGATGATGAAACAGCCGTTGCCGAAGAATGTAATGTTGATGATAATGAGGAGGAAGTTACGACTGTGAATGAACATGTTGAACATCCATTCTGTAATTCATATAATCCTGAAGAAGAAAAAGAAGAAGAAAAAGTCCCCGAAGAAAAGAAAATGCCACGGGCGTATAACTGGAATATGCCAGAATTACTTCAGATACCGGAAGAAGAGTTGATAAAGAAAGCAGTTGATTGTTACACAAAAGTTATTCGTATCAAGAAAGATGATTGTTTTGATACAAAGGAAGACTTGAAGATAGCTTTATATACGAAATGTGTGGAAGATGGCTATCAACTAAAAGTTAACAAATCAAGCAAAGATCGTTTCGAAACAAGGTGTATGATTGACAAAAACTGTACGTGGCGTATGATTGCAAAGAGAATAAAAGATTGCAAAATGTTTCAAGTTAGGACTTTTATTGATAAACATACATGTTCAAGAACCCAAGTTTTTCCTCACCATAGACAGGCAAACAAAAAGGTGTTGGGTGGTTTTCTGGCTGAGTTAATGTTTTTGAATGGCAGGGTATATCGGGGACATGAAATTATGACTGACATGAATGCTCGGTTCAAGATTAGTATATCATATTCTCAAGCTTGGAGAGCCAAATGTTATGCCTTGGAATTGTTGAGGGGGTCGCCAGAAGCATCGTTTGCCCAACTGCCGGCTTATTGTCACAATTTAAAGCTGAAA